AGAGAGAGAGAGACAGAGAGGGAGACCTTGGTGGGGTTGGGAAGCAAATTTCTCAAAGCCTTGTACTTGTGATTTAAGTTCTCTCTCCATTGCCTCTCAATAGTAAAGTGTTTCATATCCTAGCCAGCCTTCCCTTTCATGTCCCCAGAGAAATTCAAAACTCCACTGTCAACGTGCCTCCCATTCCCACCTTGATACACACCTCCACTTCCCGCTCTCTCATCCACTCCATTAAGCGTTAATGGAGAGAGAGAGAGAGAGAGAGAGAGAGAGCATGGGATTTTGCATGTAAAGGTAGGTTGGTTTGGGTTGGCATTGGTGGGGCCTAAAACTGAGTATGTTTATTACTGCATATATGAATTGCTTTTTGCCACAGCAGCGAAGTTTGTTACCGAGGCTCTGCCCATTGGCAACTCATGATCTCCGTAGTCTGATGGCTGCTGCATTTGTGATTTGATTTGAGTCTTTGACCCATTACTCTCACTCGACCAATTCTCTCTCCCCCAAAACATACTAGTATTTAGTCATACTTTAAGAGTTCAAGAGGAATAAAGTTCAAGTGACCAATGCACATGATTGCACATGACTATATAAATTCGAGATTTGCGTTACAGTTATGATTGTATTTTATCAGTAGGGTTTTGGGCTGAACCTTCTCTACAACGTTGGATGTCCATTGTATGTTACAGCCAACTAAAAAATCCCAATTTCTTGTGTTTATGTATGTGGTAGTTTCCATTACTTGCCATATTTGACAATTAGTTGCTTACTTTTCTATTTGCAAAGGTAGTCTAATGACATTATAAAGTCAAACTTGTGATTTTCTATCAAAAAATGGCTTATGAGATATTTTTTTTTTTTTTTTTTGCGTAAATGCTTAAGTGTATTCATGACATCGACCCATAGGGCNCGATTATTTTTTTTTTTTTTGCATAAATGCTTAAGTGTATTCATGACATCGACCCATAGGGCCACTTCAATTGCTATACTTATTCTATTTTTATGTTCCCTACGCGTATATACCATATGCTGTCTACACTTCATTTTTTCTCCTTGACATTTCATTAATTCATTCACTCTTTCTTTTTATCCTTGTTTTGTTCTACTTATTATCTTTGTGAACATAATTGTATTCGTGGTCTATTTTGCAGCTAGTTTCCTCACTACCGATGAGTACTCCGACCATGTCGCATAAAAAACAGTCAGAGTTCGAACACACCCGTTTTATGGTGAAGGATTGAACCTTGAGAACGAATCTACAGGACTATCACCTTCTTTGGCCAGTTGATGCCCTACTTTTGAAGAACAAAGTGGGATATAAACAGTTACTTGGTTGCATTCACACAATTTGTGGTTATTCTACAAAAGCATGTTAGGTGAGAGCTGCATTGTGTTTTCTAACATCTAATTATGATCTCGTTGTGGGAGTAAATATTGTGGGCAACGGATTACACCACGTGGGCAGCAGTGCCCCATGGTGTAACCATTCAATAGAAAAAAACTACAAAATGTATAAAATGGACCCCACTTCCTTACGTGGAGGTGATCAAGAGCTACTTAAATTATTTATTGTGCATACTTAAGTATCACGTGATAAGTTTATGATAAAAAACTGTTAGTAATTTAGATGTTGTCTGCTAAAAGAACTATATAGAAACATATTTAATAATTCAACGATGAAAATGATGCAATTGAAATATTGAGAATCAAAATGAGACAAACTCTATATTTTGAGGACATCCAGTACAATTAACCATTCATTTTTTTTTTATAATTGGTGGATTGTCACACGTGAATCGATGTTTAATTTGTTTCTTTATTGTATGGTTATTCTTTTATTATTTGTTACGTTGGATTCAAGAACTTTTTTCATATCTGATTTATTCTACTAATCTCACCAAAATCCTTGTCCACAGAAATTGTGTCCAGGTTCACTATTTTGTTTTGTTTGATTATTTTATTTGCATCTTAAACATTATTTTTTTTTTTTTGGCTCTTGAAAAAAGGTGGGGGTAAAAAAGAGCACCCAAATATCACACTGATAAACTTTCACTGGTAGGATCACGAGACTTCTGATCGCGTACGTTACACCTCTCGGAACGAACTTAGTTAGTCTAGCATAGTAGTCAATCACCGAACTCTGGCTCCAAGACTCGAACCTTCAATTTTAGAGTGAGATTTAATCGATATCTCACTGAACCACACCCCTCGGTGGTATTGTTTTTTTTTTGTTTTGTTCAGCAGCTTCATGGTTTATTATTGGAGGCATTGTCTATCTGGAACAAGAGATTGACGTTGAGTGCTCCAGACACCAAGCACTGTCATGGTATTTGATTATATGTTCGATTACTTCGGGTCTCTTTAGATTATGTAATGAATTTTTGGATTTAATATTTCGTGATGTGTATCTATAAAATGGCCTTATCCATGAGATGCTCAATGCAACTCATGAAAGCGATTTGCTACTCTCTTTTATCTTGCTTCTTTTTTTTTTTTGTTGCACTGGGAGCAAATTCCGGACGAATATGAAATATATGCATACCAGTTAGGCCTTGAAATGAAAGACAATTTTGAATCCGATTTTGTCTACGAACAAGGAAAAACTTTAAGTAATGCAACTATGAATCTCATGGAGAATTCGATCTGACTTAGGATGAATGCTGTCGACATATTTAACACTGGCAAGTCGAACGGGAAATAGTGTTTCCAGTGACGGATAGGTGAGTCACACGTAAGAACCAAAATTTTAAAATTTTGAACTCACATTTTTTATGATAGTGTTATTATATGTTGGGTATCTCTGATTTTGAGTTTGATCCAAACGCATATGTGTGAACTTGGTATTCTCTAATTCCATTTGGCATTAATCTACTAAAGTCGGCGTCATAAACTAATGTTGAAACCATGATTCTACAAAAGATAAAAACAAAAACATGATCTACATGCATCTTAATATTCTAGGCTACACGACTCCCACATCGAGCTACTTTTTTGGTTCAAAATACAATATTTGGGGTTAAGTTGTAATTTATAGCAAAAGAAAATTTATGATAGATCTTAAAAATACAACTTTTAAGGTCTAATTACTAATTACACCGGAGAGGTATGGGATTGGGCTATCCCATATCGGGTAGCTTCGGGTGTGTGAGTGTGTCTATAAGTCTCCACTTGACCCTTACTCTATTAGAGTATGTAGTTAGGTGTGAATTAAAAAAAAAAAAAAGAGGTCTAATTACACTTTTTTTTTTTGAGTCAAAGTTACAACATTTTGAAAGTATAACTACATCTCCAAAAATATGCAAACTTAACCTCAAAAGTTAGCTAACATTAAAAGTTAGTATTTTATAGTAGGACCAGAAAAAATATTTTTTGATATTGTATACTTAAATGACTATCCAAGAGACTTTATTACTAGCTAAACAAGCTAACACCCTCCCTAACCAAAAAAACGCACAACTTTTGGTATTGATGATGTATGAACTCGAAACGTGAGGGCGATGCTTAAGTTGAAGATCAAGGCTTACGAACAGCAATGTGCAAGTGATTAGTGGAGAAGAAGATAATCCAAGCTGGAGCCTAGTAGCTCTACTTAAACCATGGTACGAGCTAGGAAAGAAAAGAACATACAGATTATAGTGGTTTATTAACTGAAAAGATTGATTAATCTATTCTAATGGAGTCTCTTACTCATTGGGAAACTGTATATTGCTTGGATAAGAAGATGGGGTTACAATTCATTAGATGTCTTTATATGGAGAAGACCTTTGTATTTATACCCACAAGTGGGGGGTGGTCCCTATGTTATCATCACATGGTCCTCAAATTTGTTAGGATTTTGTTAAGAGAATATTAGGCTTTTAGAGGATGTAATCTAGAACATGTTAATGTGACTTTATGACCTGTCTTCAAGTTGGGATGCGTTGTGATCCTCCATATCTCTAGAAGAGTTTGCTATGAGATCGTTCTTCTTTGAGACGACCTTTTGCTCTTTTAGTTAACTCGGTCCAAACACTTGCCTTGAGCTAGAGAGGCTGATTCACCTTGTGATGCAACGTGAACAACCTGAATACTTGCACCTGAGGTCATTCTTAGTCGACCTGAATTCCTTAAATTGAGGACGTATGTGAACATTGGCTTCTTTTCTCAAGGTGGATGTGCAGCTCAAAGGTCGGGATATAGATCTCGTCCGTTGGCTCTTTTATGAACCTGTTACTTAAATAGCCTTTAATTTATAGCTAATGCCATTTTTGAGTATCATTAGTTATGTCTATTATTTTCGGCGAAAAATACTTTGCATCCCAAATGAATAAAAACCCACCCTTGGATGAGTAGGTCCAATTAAAAATACAATGCCATCTAAGCCAGCCAACATTTTGGCATCATATGGAACAAAGTTATTATTCAAGTAAATAGGTCCTGGTCATGACTTCTAGTCTCCAAACATTGTATTCACCATGTTAGTCTTTTGATCACTCGGCAGTGTGAACAAGCCATTGTAACTGACGCCATTAACGTTTCTCCCCCATAACTTTACCCGCCAGAGCTGGAGTTTCCTCCCAAAAAAAAACACGGGTTAATTACACTTTGTCCTTTGAAACTACAAGACTTGTGCCACTTTGCCCTCTTGACTATCACTTTTAATTATAATTATTAGTTTAATATCCGTGAGAAATGACGGAAAATTGTTTCACTTTGTCTCACACTATGTGATTTTGTTTAATTTTACCACGGCACGTTGACCTTTTTCATTCAAAATATAAAGAATTTTGCTTTTTGGGCAAAATGAAAGCAATTGAAGTAGTTGAGGGAGCAATGTGAGAAATTTAAAAGTTCAAAGGGCAACGTGAGATGAAGACAATAATTTAGGGGTAAAAGTGTAATTAACCCCCACCCCCCCCAAAAAAAAAAAAAAAAAAAAAAAAAAACATTTCCTCTTCATCACATCACAACCACCACACTCCCTCAAATTTTCTGTTTCTTCTCATAGAAAAAACTTCAAGATGCCAAGTCCCTCTCTCTCTTCGTCTCACTCCGAGTCCGGCGACATCCCGAGTTCAAACCTCTCTTCGCATTCAATCGGCTCGCTGATAACTGTTTGGCCGAAGAGAGTTGGTACCTACATAACAAAAAAGACAGTTTCCTCATCAAAAAAGTCAGATTTAACCAAAGAGAGTCTTGAGGAATTTAATAGAAGAAATGAAATTTTGGATAACAAGACATCATATCCAAGGAGTCCTTATTACAAGGGACTCACAGATTCATCCCTTGTTCTCAATCAACAAAGACTATCGGTGTCTAGTCCGGGGAGAGAAAGCAATGCAGTCACTTCAAGCTCTAGAACAAGTGTCATTGTTAAGATGCAAGAATGGGGTAGTTCTTTCTTTATCTCTAAGACCAAGGAAGAAAAACACTTCACCAGTGCAAGTTCTGATGGGATTAGTAAATGCTCTCAAGACACCATGACTGCGAGAGCTAGAAGTTGCCCCAGAGTGGCAACAGATATGTATTTGGAAAAGAAAGATGTGAGCAGTGGTGCCAAGGAAAGCAATACTACTGCTATGTCAAATGTAAGGAAGCCTTTGAGGGAGAGAGAAACAGAAACACCATCACCAACACTACCAGCAGTTTCACAAACTGCAACATTGCCACCACTACCACCAAAAACATCACCATCACCACCACCGCCTTCACGACCATCACCACCACCTAGAAAAACATCACCAACTGAGAATGGAAGACAGTTTGTTTGGGCAGACAAATATCGGCCTGAAGCCCTAAAAGATTTTCTCTGTCACCGTGATAAAGCACTTGAGCTCCAGGCTCGGGTAAGATCACATGACTTCAATCGTCTAACTTGAAATTTATAGCCTAAATCAAGAACATTGAAGAGTGTAAAATTGAAAACTAGCTTGAACAATTTTATAGGCAAAAGCAGAAGATTGTGGCAATTTCATATTTGGAGGACCCGCTGGGGTGGGAAAGAGAACCATGATTTGGGCTATGCTTCGCGAAGTATTTGGATCAGACAATATAGAGGTAAAAGATACAAATCTCATGTAAATACAATCTGTGATTCACCTTACTGTAGGAGTAGAAGAGTTTTGAAAGGAGAAGACAGTTAATCTGAGGTGATTGGGGTGTCGAATTAACAGTTGGTCAGATCATCAACCTTTATGTAGTATGAATGATGACTCAATTAAATGCATATCAATTTACTCTATCACAATATATGAGATTTCTGTTATCATTGCATTAGATATAGAAAATTCAACTAAAATATTTGTCTGAAAACCCCTGTTGTCACTTTTTTGGGTTAGTTTATGTTGCTTGTGTCTGATTGATGTTTTACAGGCAAGGGAGGAGTGCAGAGAATTCATCTTGAAGGTAAAGTTCTTTCATTTTGCCTTTACATCAAACATCCCCTAGTACTTTAATTAAAGTACATAGCTGTTTTAACAGAGCATGCAATTAGTTCTATATTTGACACACAAGAAATGGAAGCTTTGTAATGACATTAGGTTGAGGATTGAGATTGAAAGGCACCTAATCTATTGAAGTTTGCTTAGGCTGAAGAACAGGACGCCATCATGGGAAAATGATGATTAGGTTTAGAATTACCTTCTTCAATGAGTAAATGCGTCTCTGACTTCAAACTGTACTGCTACAGTGATCTAAAGATTTGTAAAACCTTCTCTTCAGTGTTCTGAAAACCTCTCTCATGTTCTCTAGGTGAGTCCAGCACCTTTATTGTCTGTTGCTACTCCTCTAGAGCCTTTTGTTGTGTTCTGAGCTTTTCTTCCCTCAACAAGATCTCTATAACAAGAAATGAAGTCACAGTGTCAATGTTCTTCCCAAGTGTTTTAGACAATACGAAATACCTACTCGAACCTGCTCTCCATCCGTTTTGGAACAGTTACACTAGTTCCTCTAAATCAAGTTTCAAGTTTCCAAGGATCCATACAGCACAAACAATCANAATTACTTTGCCCAATTTGATTATCTCATGTACTTGAAGAACCTTGGATAATTGATCAGTTTATTTTTGGGTTGAGACAAAAAATTAGTAGGGAGGTTAAGCAATACACTTTTAATACGTTAGTTGCAGCCTATCAATATGCTCTAAAGGTTGAGAGATTTTATAAAAAATCTAATTATACCTTGATGAGTTCTCAATCACAGCCTACTGATAGGACATCTTCTAATTTTAATTTCATCACATATGAATATCATGATTACTTAAACGATGTCCATGTTGTTTCAGCATGCTTTCCTAATGTGAATGTGACACAGAATTTAGATATTTTAGTGTCAGATAAAGAGAAAAATGTTACTCATATGGACTTCCAACTCCCTCATTTGGTTTCGTCATATCAGAGTCGTCCTCCTTTGCACCTACAAGAGTCCATTTCGAAAGAAAGTGTGTGTAAGTCTTTGTTTGTGTCAATTCTTGAACCATCATTGGTCTTGAAAATTGTGGCAAAATCTGTTGAGTCTACACCTATGCAAGATATTAAGCCAATTGAGCCATTTATTACAGAATCTAATAGTGACTATTCTATGTCTACTTGTCCAAGTCATCATGACTTTGTTACAAATTATTCTCAATCTGAGATTGTTGGCATTGTTCTGGATTCTGCCCCACTTGAGAGTGTTAACTTTGATTCTTTGNATCTATATGAGGAATACAATGTATGAACACGAGCATATTGATTACCTAATTGCGGTACTTCTCTTAAATAAATAAAGCCTGCATGACATTATTAAGCGATACCTCATCATTTTGGCAACAATAGTATAAAGCTAAGTATGATTGGGTATTAGAAATATAACAGTTTTGTTTCTCAGTGCAATAAAAACTGAAGCATAATAGGTTCTACTTTTTCTTGTACTCAGAGCGGTGATTACAGTGAGAAGCCTTTTGCCTTTGCACGCAGTCGACATGAGGAAATGTGCAAAACCGGAAATGATCCATTGAGAAAGAATGATCATCATTTCATGAGGATAGAAGGTAAGCCTTTATTGGTTATAGCAAAATACCTACTATGACCTTGTGCAAGGTTATAAAAAAAATCTATAATCGTGAATAAAAATAGGCAATCTGTGAGAAAGAACATAATAATCCAGTCAGAAAGAATATTCATCATTTCATAAGGATTAAAGAGGGACATTTCCCTCCCCACTCTATTGCAATCAATGGCATCCAGGATCTTATTGATGTAGATGGTAATAGCTCTGATACCAAATTGATGTAAATCGTATTAGGGAAGAATTAGGGATGAGAAGGGAAGAAGAAAGGGATGAGAAAAGAAGAAGAAGGGGATGAGAATAGAGAGAGAATTTTAGGAAGAAGATTCAATATCAATAATCAATAATCAAAGTCTATCAAAACAAATACCATATTCCCTATATATATAGGGAGAGCACAACTCCTAAAAGAACTCTAAAAGAAATAAATAGTCATAATGACAACTAAACCCTTAAAAGTTAAAAGAAAATACTTAAAAGATAAACACTAAATTACTCTCATAATTAATCTAAAATATTTATCCATTTCCTATACGATCCCCATCATTCTCCTCCGGAGAGTCTTCAAAGTAGAAGTACCCTACGAGAGCAAAACGAAGATGACATAATGCTTTATTTAGAATGAACGAACCATCAATATCTTTCCATAGATCCGAATAAATGCAAGAATCTCCATCTGTAACAATGTAAATCTGGCTACGTATTACATCATCTATTTGCCCCGAAATATGCGATGGAAGTGGAAAGATAAGATCTGGAGCTAATGCTGAGGAAGAAGCAATTCCACTTGTTGAAACACCTGATGGGGATCGTATAGAAATTGGATAAATATTTTAGATTAATTATGAAAGTAATTTAGTGTTTATCTTTTAAGTATTTTCTTTTAACTTTTAAGGGTTTAGTTGTCATTATGACTATTTATTTCTTTTAGAGTTCTTTTAGGAGTTGTGCTCTCCCTATATATATAGGGAATATGGTATTTGTTTTGATAGACTTTGATTATTGATTATTGATATTGAATCTTCTTCCTAAAATTCTCTCTCTATTCTCATCCCCTTCTTTTTCTTTTCTCACTCTTTCTTCTTCCCTTCTCATCCCTAATACGATTTACATCAATTTGGTATCAGAACTATTATGATCTACATCAATTTTGTATCAGAGCTCAACTTCGATTCATACAAATCACAAAAAAAAAAAAAAAAAATTGTTAGCCAAATCGCTATTCGTGAACTGTTCACCATCCCTACATATTCAGAAAATTACAGCAACATCCCAGCTGTTTTAAAAATTATAGAAACAACCCAAAAAGTTTCAAAAATTACAGAATCACCACCAGAAATTCTAAATTTTATAGAATCTTCCCCCCAGAAGTTTCAGAATTACTGAAATATTACCCCAGAAGTTGCAGAAATTGCAGAATTTTTTCCCTAGAAATTCCAGAATTGCAGAAACGTCACCAACAGATCCATAAAATTGCAGAATCATCCCAAAAAAAATTTAGAATTTCCTCTTGATTATGGTATGCATACTCCAATAGAATTTAAGATTAATATTTTTATTCATTGAAAAATTAGAGAATTTACAAAGGATCCAAAACATATTTTCCTCTATTTAAAATTTCTTGAAATTGATAATTACATTCTTGAATTTGTTCTTATACCTTTCTCATCTATCAAGAGTCTCTCGTCAAGGTCATCATCATAGGAAGTCTAAGGATGTTTACATAGAGTCAACTCATATGACCAAACTAGTCAAAGATCCTNCTTTTTCGAACCGGTGCCTTTATTGACCTCCGTTGAACATAACCAAACCATTTTAATCTATTTTCTCTTAACTTATTATCAATTGAAGCTACTCCTACTATTTTTCTAATCCAGTCATTTTTTATTCTATCCTTTCTAGTTTTTTCATACATCCACCTTAACATTCTCATTTCCTCTACACTTATTTTGTCACTATGTTGTTTCCTAATTGCACAACATTTGTCACATACAACATTATTGTCCTTATAGTTGTTCGATAAAACTTACCCTTTAATNTATATTTAGTGGTACTTTAGATCCCAATCAATTCTTAGATTGGTTAGCTAATTTAGAAGAATATTTTGATTGGCATGGCATGTCGGATTCCCATTGCATCCGTTTTGCTAAATTGATATTGGAGGATTCGGCCAAGAAGTATTGACAAACAATACAAAGAAGCCTAAACCCCTTAGGAGAATCACCTATCACTTGTGTTGAAATGAGATATAAATTGAAAGAGAAGTATTTGCCTACTTCCTACATNATTTTATTGGTATCCTCCTATCACATAATATGCCAGAGGTTTTCCTCCACTTAAGCCAATTAACGTTGATTCTATAAGTTACATCATCTCCAATCTCTCCATCATTTTTAATGATCGATCTTAGATATCTCAATTGTTTACTCATTGGTATTTCTTGATTTTTAATCTTAACTTTTTCACTATGTCTACTTCTTTTATTACTAAATTGCATTACATATATTTAGTCTTACTCCTACTTATTTTAGACTCTTTCGACTTGAGTGTCTATCTCTAAATTTTTAACTTATTGTTAATCATTTTCGAGTTTCATCTACTAATACAATATCATCTACAAATAACATACACCGTAGGACATCATCTTGAANTAGTCTCACTTCTACTTATTTTAGACTCTTTCGACTTGAGTGTCTATCTCTAAATTTTTAACTTATTGTTAATCATTTTCGAGTTTCATCTACTAATACAATATCATCTACAAATAACATACACCGTAGGACATCATCTTGAATGTGCCTAGTGAGTTCATCTATAATTAGAGCGAATTGGTATGGACTTAGGGCCGATCCTTGGTGTAATCCCACCGTTATTAAAAATTCTTTACTTTCTCCCACGAAAGACCTAATTGTAGTCATAACCCCATTATACATGTCTTTTATCACCTAAATATACCTATTCATCACTCATTTTCNGTATGGACTTAGGGCCGATCCTTGGTGTAATCCCACCGTTATTAAAAATTCTTTACTTTC